AATCCTGCTAGAAGGTTGGAGCACCAGAGACGGGTCAAGCCCTGGCACCTTGACCATTCTCCCCGCCAGCAGCTGTGGGGAGCCAGAGCAGGGCAAGTCCCCTCCCAAACTCTGCTGGGAGCAGTGGGCTGGGTGTCCACTGGGAGCACCAGCTGGAATGGGACAGCCCCCCCATGTCCTGACCCCAGTGAGAGCATGCAGGGGAGAGGGCCTAGAAGAGCAAGCCCCTGCACCCTGGTCCTGCTGCCCGTTGGGAGATTGGAGGCAAAGAAGGTATGTAGGCTGTCCCCCGCTGCAGCAGGAGCGCCCTGAGTGCAGTGTAGAGCCCCTGGCCAGTGTATCTTTCCCTCCCTTCTCCATGGCCAGCTGGAGGGCGGGAGAGGTAGCCCCATCATTGCCCCCCCCACCTGACCCTAGGACCCACCCACTTGTCCCATCCTGGCTACACCATTGGCATGGATACAAAATTTTCATCCAGATCCAATCCATACAAACAGTGCACAGATGCCCATATTCATGGACATAAAGCAGATACCTGCAGATTTAGAGGGCTTTGCTGATCAGAGAGGACCATATTAGGCAAAGCCCCGGATAAATCAGTGGCATTGTGCCGCACAGCTCTAAACACACTGACCAAATAGTGCCTCTCCCAACACACTGACCAAATAGTGCCTCTCCCATGAGTCAAAACTGCATTTCAGGTTCCATGGCCATCAGCCTTACGTTTGCTTAAAAGTAATTGTACACCCGAAACACCACACAAATCTGAGAGTCAATTCCAGGAGTGGCGGCCATAAGAGAGAACAATAATTCAAATTCTCCTGCAGTGGTGGAAAACTGAATCCTAGAAGACTAAAAATCTGAAGGAAGTAAAAGTTACAGACTGAAGTAGAGAACTGCACATCTGTGCGAGGAACTATGTGTATAAAGCAATGTCCCTGAAAGGTGTAGACAGGAGTTAAGAAGCCAAAACTGAGACAGCCACAAAAATCATTTCATTGCATCTTTGCTAATGCTAAATCTCCCCCCTCCCCACTATCCCATTTCACATACTACTCAGCTTGTATGGCTTGCCTATGGGAAACATGAAGATAATTCCAGGCAGGGCCCCATAGTGAAGGCATGGGTGAAAAAGTGATGGTTCGCAGCTGTGACAAGTCAATTTCCTCAAGTTGTTTATGAAGTGTGTATTTCAGACTGTAAGAGTATGTCTACACTAGCCACCCTGGTTCGAACTAGAGTGGCTAATGTAGTCATTCAAACTTGCAAATGAAGCCTGGGATTAAAATATCGCCGCCATTTTTAAATGCCCAGTGGTTTGAACTCTCTGCCCGCGGCTACACGCGGCATAGTCTAGGTAGTTCGAATTAAAGCCCCTAATTTGAACTACCGTTACTCCTCCTGCAATGAGGAGTAACGGTAGTCCGAATTAGGGCTTTAGTTCGAACTACCTACTCTGTGCTGCGGGCAGGGAGTTTGAATTACCAGGCATTTAAAAATGGCAGTGACCGGGAACATGAAAATAAAGCCTGGGATATTTTAAACCCGAGCTTCATTTGCAAGTTCGAATGACTACATTAACCACCCTAGTTCGAACTAGAGTGGCTAGTGTAGACATACCCTCATTTTTATCTTGGGTGTGTGCCCCATTTAAACGGAGTCTGTTACTTGCAGCTACTACTAACTGGATTTACACCCCGGCTGTGTCTACACTGGCACCCTTTTCCGTAAAAGGGATGCTAATGAGACACTTCGGAATTGCAAATTCCACGGGGGATTTAAATATCCCCCGCGGCATTTGCATGAACATGGCTGCCGCTTTTTTCCGGCTCGGGGTTTTGCCGGAGAAAAGCGCCAGTCTAGATGGGATCTTGCGGAAAATAAGCCCTTTTCCGGAAGATCCCTTATTCCTCCCTTGAAAGTAGGAATTCCGAAGTGTCTCATTAGCATCTCTTTTACGGAAAAGGGTGCCAGCATAGACACAGCCCCCCATGTGCTCAACATTGAGGGTATCTGGGTATATTTAAAATGGTGACTTAATTTGCACCAACTCGGTCATAAGGAGCGGGATTTTCTAAAAGGGTCAAGAGACTCGGGAGCAAAGTCCCCTTGACAGAAGTGTCCCATGAAGGAGAATGCCTCAAGGCACTTTCTGTGTTTTGATCCTCCACTTACTTTAGCGTTTTTGGCCCCTTATTCCACATGGGTGGAGGCTTGTGGCTGATTTCAGCAGAGCTCCGTGTCAGTACAGAGTGTGTCTGCGAAGGATCAGGGTCCAGCCTTGCCTCATAAGGTTTGACACCACATTTTCCACCCTTTGCTTACAACCAATCTTGTCTCCAGGAAAGCTCGCCATATCTGTTAAACTAGGAGAACAAATGTTCGGTTTCACTTTAGAAGGGGCCATTTTTTTTTTTGGCTTCAAAATAGATCTGTTTCCAAATTTGCATTTTGTCGCAAGTTCATCCATTTGTACCTTCATCCCAAATGTTTCACCTCTCCGTGTGGGATACAGGATCACTGTTCTGGAGCACACCTGGGTTTTATTGCAATGGATTTTATTGATGGACACCAAGTAAAGAGACAAAATGCCTGGGCTTGCAAGCTTTAGCAATCACTGCGGAGTATATTCCAAACAGCACACATGTTGCATTTGCCCCTCCATCCATGCCAAATGCCTACCTTTGCTGACAGAACAAATAGCACCCGGGGAACAGGTTGGACTCACCACATTAGCACCTTCTGCTGTTCTCCCAGGGAGTTTGCTCTTTGCAGACCTGGAGCACCCTCCTCAGGTGGTGCCTCACCTACTGTTACTGGTCTCCATCACGCCAGAAGCCACATACCTCTCAGACTGCGGTGCCTCTTCTGCTGGGTACTGTACTCTGGCAATGCCCACACTGGGGTCCCTCCATGTTGGGGAGAGACTCCCCCCAATCCCACCATTCACCTCAGCGGCCCTCTCACCACAGCAATCCATTAGTCTAGCCCCTTCCCTCCAAGGCAAACTGCAGTCTGAATTGGCCACTCATCATTGGCAAGGGGGTATGGACCTCCTGCTTTCCTGCCCTGGCTGCCCCCATGCCGTACCCTCCTGGAGCCCTGCATCAGGGCCTCGGCCTGGGAGCTGGTCAGGCCAGAGTTCCCCTGCCCTTCCCCAGCACTGCTCTGTCTAGATAAAGGCAGCAAGTCCTTTCCCCTCCAGAACTGGAGAGAGACTAAACTCCCTCTACCCAGCAGCTCTTCTTACAGTGCCTAGCCTGGTCCTGATTGGCTGCCTTCAGCCTCCCTCTGATTGGCGCATGGAACAGCCCTCTTCCAGGGCTGCTTTAACCCCTTTTATTTCAGTGTGGCACAACCACCCCATCACAACCCTCCTTAACATATTTAGCAAACAAAACCAAAGGTATTAACATGCTCCCACAAATTTCACATAGGGCATATATTCAGCCTCCCCTCCCCCCTCCCCCCCAAAAATATTTTTGAATCAATACCAATAAGAAAGAAATCCCTCAAAGTCTCTACCATAGGTCTTATTTTTACAGTTTAGTAATGGCAGGGAAAAACTGCCTCCTCCCCCATCTATCCTAATACACTGGAAACACAGACAGACACTCTCTCTCTGTCTCTGAAGGTGGCTCAATATCAGTAGCAGTGTAGTTAGCAAAGCTGCCACACTAGCCCAAGTCAACCAAGAAGCACAAATATGAACACAGAAAGCTAAGGGATGGGCATTCAACAGGAAGACACCACTCGGTTGAAACCAGAAGCACTGCGAATACAAGTTACAGCCCAGCTTAGATTTCAGAGACTGCAGCAAACCTTGTCAGAAGGTTGAGTGAGGCAGAGGCTAAACCCACCCAACCCACTTTGGGCCACACAAAAAAAGGAGAAGTGGGCTGAGTGTGACAAGCTATTCAGCACGTCTCCAGATCCCCCTTCCATCCCACCACAGTTACCTGCAGATAGAGGATGCTGGTCACAGTAGGGGAAGCAATTCTGCTTTTGGTTTCCTTGCAGAGATAGTTAGCAAGCTGCTTGGGCAGGCTGATGCTCCTTTGAGTAGGAAAGGACTTCTCTGGCTGCAGCCAGACAAATCTGAGTGCTGTGCAGCCTCAAAACACCTGAAGTCTTGACAAATCCTCCCTTTTGTTTAGAAAAATCTTTTAAGGGACAGTATAGCCTGCCAACAAATCAGCTGCAATAGCCCTAAGCAACAAACTGCCTGCAGCTGAATTTTATCCTCAGCAGAGGAAAGTGTAGGAAGTTGGGGGGAGGGGGAGATCTGCAGGAGCTGAGAAAGGCTGGCTACATCCACATCAAACCCTTTGGGGACACCATCCTTCTGACAATGATACAGAACATTTGCTCGTGGCTATTGTTTTGGAGGATTGGGTTTTTTGTTTTTGTTTTTTGCTAATAAATGGCCTGTTTTAACATATAATAGTCTTGGTTCTGGAGACTTTGTACTATCCAAAGATAATGCTCCCCCCATACAACTCTTCAAAGCCTCTTAAGAATCACCAAACTTCTGTTTGCCCAAATGCTACAACAATTTGATTATCACCCCTGTTCTCCAATCTGAAGGCCAGGATTAGCCCCAGCTGGTTGGCTGGTTTTAACACAGTACTTCTATTGGATCATTACCACTGGCTCTGGTATGAGACATCAGGTAACATGGTCAGCTATCTTTAAGTAGGCGTTACCCACTGGTGTATGTCAGTGCGTTGCATGTTATCTGTGCTACTCCACAAAGGAACTGTTTTGTCATAGCCCGCAGTTATAGACCACAGCGGGTCATAGGGTCACTGGTGTGTGTGTCACCTTAAGAGGGTGGTCATTGCATCAGTTAACTCTAGAGCTAAAAGTGTGAGTGTCTGCAGTTTGAAATAAAGAGTTTGGGACTGCACCAACAGCTCCTCCCTGAACCTGCACAGACCACAGCATACACTCATCAGTGGGTTACACTTCCATCCTATGGGACATGACTTATTACCTGCTCCTGAAGCACAGGACTCTGTCCAGGTATGTCTACACTTGCACCCTCTTTTGAGAGAGGGATGCAAATGAAGACATTCAAAATTGCAAATGAAGCCAGGATTTAAATATCCCATGCTTCATTTGCATATTTACATTATGGTGCTATTTCGAAATAACAGGTGCTGTTAAGACGTGGTTATTTCAAGAGAAAACTCTTCTCTCGAAATAACCCTTATTCCTCATCCAATGAGGTTTACCAGTTATTTTGAGAGAAGGATTCTCTCTCGAAATAACCACGTCTTAACAGTGTCTGTGATTTTGAAATAGCGCTATTTCAAAATAGCGCCATAACGCTTCATGTGCAATTTTGAATGTCTTCATTTGCATTCCTCTCTCAAAAGAGGATGCAAATGTAGACATACTCTCCCATAAGGTAACTGCTTACGAGCTATTGCTCCTGTTTGCTCCCTGATCCCTTGCAGGGTAGACATCCTGCTTCCAATTAAGTCATTTTCAAACCCAAATGGTGCAGGATCAGATCCTCATTAAGGAGATAATCACCCACTTTGCCCTCAGCTCTGCAGTTGACAAGTTTTTCCCCACATCTTGCTTCGTAGAATCAGGGCCTCAATCAGATCTGTTAATAGAGTGCATCAGCACAAACACAGTGGCAGGCAGAGTGAACCTTGTATCAGCCAGACAGATGGACATCTAAGAGCGACACTTCTCCTAGTAGTGCAATGTACCATCAGCCCTGGGGCAGAGCCAATTCCCAGTGTGGGATTTGAACCTATGATGTTTCAGCTCCTAGCTGCACTTTCGTGACACTAAAAGTACCAGCTTTACGTGGTGACTAGCCCTGGCAGTGTGGTTAGTCACTTACTGGTTACTTGTAATTGTAAAAAGCACCATGTTTATCTCCCCAGGTGAACACAACACGGAAGTCAATGATGGTATCGAGCAATATCGCCAAGTGGTGAATATCTTTCCTCATCCCACCTATAACGCCAGCCAAAACAAGCACCACAATGACATAGCACTGCTAGAGCTTGAGACCCCACTGGAGCTCAACAGTTATGTCACACCCATTTGCATTGCCAGCAAGGAATTCACCAACAGCCTCCTCAAATATGGGACTGGCACCGTGAGTGGCTGGGGGAGTCAGCTGTTCCGGGGAAGGGAGGCCACCATCCTACAGGTTCTGAAAGTTCCATTCGTTGACCGCGGAACATGTCTGAGGAGCACCACGTTTTCCATCTTACCGAATATGTTCTGCGCAGGTTATCATTCAGAGGCGAAAGATACATGTGAAGGGGACAGTGGGGGCCCTCACACTACAGAAATAGAAGGCACCTGGTTTCTAACTGGAATAACCAGTTGGGGGGAGGAGTGTGCACTGGAAGGCAAATATGGTGTCTACACCAGAGTATCAAAGTACAGCAAGTGGATAAAAGACAGAACAAGTCTTGCTTAATTAATGGAGAGCTAAGCATTTCTTTCACTTTTCTGTGGCTTGCCTGATGAGAAGAGGTTAGGAGAATATAAAACCACTAATATGTTTTTCTTAAAATGTTGCTTTTTAGTAAACTCAGCAGAACCATTTTTCTTTTAGGCTAAAAATTTGCATAGAGACTTCAGTGTGTATGTGGTCAAAGGAAAAAATATTCATTTATTGTAAATGGCCAAATTCTGCTCTCATTCATGACCCCTGAGGTCATGCTTGTGGCAGAGGACAGAATTTAAGGTGAAGAACTACTATGGGATTTTGCCATGGCTGAAACAATTTCACATTACCCTCTCTGCCAACAGTTTTCAGGATCTGGAGCTTTTTATGTGAACCAGTACAAGTGTTGTCTGTGATCAGAAGGAAATTCTTGCATGAGATTCATTAATGTGTAACACTGGTTCTCATGAGTGTAAAATAACTTGAAAGTACTGACCTATTAAACTCATGTGAAAGTAGCTACACGATTTGTGATACTGATTTCTGCCGTAACTTGATTCAAGGTTAGGAAAAGGTAATTGTTTGGCATCTATCTCCACACGTTAACATTCCCTGTATTATTCAGAGTCAATTAGAACTAGAGACCAGATCCTCTGCTCATGTAAATTGATGTCACTGTATGGACTCCCATGGAGCCATTTATACCAGCTGAAGAAATGGATGGATATTTTTAAAGCTCAGATGATCCTCTTTGTTCTATGACTTATGGGTAAGTATTTGCAAGTAGCTGTCATTTCAATGGGAAAGCAAATAATCTGAACTTGGAATGCAAGGGGATTTTTACCCTAAAAACATTTGCATTCACTAATGCTCAGGTTCTCAGAAGTATTTCAGCACCTAACACCTTTTGCAAACAATGGCAGTTAGGTGGCTCTGAGGATTTGGGCTTTAATGCCACCAGTAGGAGTCCTCTACCTATTCTAATGGGCAGCATCTTAGGTCCATGTGGTCTGCTGCTGTTCCTAGTCAAATTAATGGGAACTTTATCACTCACTTGAATAAATTAGGGTCTAGCACAATATGTTCCATTTATTCATGCACAATAAACAAACACTTCTCTGTCCAGTCTTGTATCATATGCCTTTGGTCATCCCCTGACCTAAGGCATTTACATTAAGACATTATTGTGCTTTGGGCATCATTGGTTAATTCTAACACTAAAAGCATTAATAAATAAATCTGAAAATGGAATACCTAAGAGGGTGGAAAATACTGTCCATTAAATGCTGAAATCTTAAAGCATTGTGTGCTCAGCCATGAAAAGAGAACATACAAATTTAAGTAACAAGTTACCACATTCCTCCCTTTTGTAGCCTTCAGATTCACCTTGGAATATCCTTAGTTATTTAACTGGGAAAAGCAGACACATGCTGCTGAGTCACAGGCTGTTAGAATAAAACAAAACCTTGTGTTGAGTGTGAAAGTAGTACACATTCTAAGCATGGGACTCAATTTTTGCTGGAAATATTCGTTATTTTTGGTTACAGGAATTAAATACAACTCTTATAGTTAGAGTTGAAATCTAGAGGGTGGCAGAACACTTCAGGGACAGAAAAAGCACAAGAATAAAGAATTCATAGAGATGTGGGATGGATGCATGCATGCAAAAGTTTGCATCATTTTCTTGGTAGTTTAAATATGTAAACTAAGGCTATGGGGGAGGGATAGCTCAGTGGTTTGAGCCTTGGTCCCCTAAACCTAGGGTTATGAGCTCAATCCTTGAGGGGGCTATTTAGGGATCAGGGATGGTACTTGGTCCTGCAGTAAGGACAGGGGACTGGACTTGACCTCTCAAGGTCCCTGCCAGCTCTATGAGATGGTATATCTCCATATATTATATTATACTAGACCTGGAAGGTCAGTTTAAGGTACACAACTTTAACAACATAGTTGGAGTCAACAAACCTTAAACCAAGCTTGGCACCGTCTCCACAGTGGGAGGTCAATGTTGGCTTTCCTTATTCCTCATAAGCAGTAGTACCAGCACTGACCGGGGCTCTCTCAGCATTCAATTTAGTGGGTCCTTACTAGACCTGCTAAAGTGAACACGAGAATATCGATCTCCAGTGTGGCAAATAGAGATGTGGCCTAATACTTGACTCAGTGAAAGGGCTCTTCTCCATACTCAGAGGACAGGGATCAAGTATTGAATCTTCTCCCCAATCTGTTGTCATAATAGCAGCAAAGCCACTTTGTGACAGGTAATATATTGGTAGAGGTAACCTGCTGCTCCTATCTTTGTGTTGCTTTTGGCTATAGCATCCAGTGGTCCCCTTTTAGTTTATAGATGAACTGGCCACCTCCCTAGCCTGCTCACTAGGTCCCCTTTGTTCTCTTGCACACCTCTGCTCCACAGCGTCCCTTCGAAGCTCTCTTCTCCCTCGGCAGCGGAAATATCTGTAGCTTTCGTGGGTCCCATAGGAGGCGTCATGAGTCCACCCAAGGTGCCCTCTTCCCATAGAAAGCAGAGAGATGTGCTTTAGGAGTGATGAAGCAAAACGAAACCGAGGCTTCTGAGAGCTGAACAGAGGTGAGTTAAATTTCTAATCTGATAAACAAATACACAATTAACCAAGTAAATCTATGCACGTTTATTTACCAAATTCAAGGGAACTCAGAGTGCAGGGAAAGTTTAAATAAGATAATCACTAACTCCTGTCTCATTTGCACTGGAAAGCATGACATCTATACAATTCCATAGGCCGTGTTTTTATTCCTATGGGTCGGTGATCAGCATATGCTGAGGATGTGCAAGCTTTGTCACACAGGTCCACTTTGGATGTAGGCCAATGCATGACAACAAATGCTTGCCCAAAGAATACTCCTTGATTTGCATCACCTTCCTGGCTTCCTCCCCTCACAAAGGCAGAATATTAAGAGGGAACCCCCACCCCCCATGGTCAACGAGGCATCTTTATATCCATGGTATTATTTTGAAGCTTATGCTTAATTCAGATTTTACAAGGTGTCTCTGTTGCAGGTTGTATAGTGAAGAGCCTTTAAAAAAGCATCATGTGGTGTTCCCTCATTACACAGCAATCCCGGCATTGCATGGCCAAAGGGCATGTCCTGGGGCGACGGATGACTTGCAGTGTTCAGAAGGGAGTTTCATTGCCACTCTCATGTCACTTACAACAGCATGATGCAGCTACGTTAAAATGGATGAAACAAATGAATACTTAATATGGGGTAACCACAGATCCATGCTATGGCCTCCAGACAGTCTTTAAATGCAGCTGCTGCTATTTATCTAAATGGAGCTAATTTTAGCCTCATTTCTGAAAATCGCCGATCACTGTAATTTTTGCAGCAATATCCATGAAATGCCACAAACATCAGTGACACTATATGCAAATGAGTTATTCACAGTCACTAGTTTGGGTCAGATATAGGCCCTGATTCAGGGGAACACTAACCATGTTTTTACTTTAAGCATATGCTTAAATTTTATTGAAGTCAACAGAAATCAAGGGTATACCAAGTGTTTTCCTGAATCAAGGACATCCACAGTGCAGGCAGGAACTGTATTAACTTCTCCAAACTCTTCCAAAAATATTTCTACTCATTACTATTCCAGTCCCAGCTCCTCCTCTCCCCCGGCTAAGTTTCGGATAGGCCAAATTGTATGGTGTGTTATAGATCAAAGCTCACTAAAGATTTCAAGATGTAGCACAAATGATTTTGTACTTCGTTTTTCAGGCTATAGCACTGTCACTGATATCTCTGCCCCTCTTATCTCTCTTTTTTGGTTTATGTTACTTCCACTCCAATTCATCAGATGAAGTGGGTTTTGCCCACAAAAGCTCATGATTCTATATATTTTGGTTAGTCTCTCCAGTGCCACAGTACCACTCATTGTTTTTAAAGTTACAAACACAATTGCCCTTCTGAGATTTCTTTTTATCACCAGTTAATCCACCAATGAACAAATCAGATTATTTATAATATCTATATATATTATGTTAAAATATGTCTAAGGGCTTTATGGCTACAATGAAGAAAGGAAAAGCAGTGAACAAAATGAAAGCTATGTTTTGTACAGTAAAAGTACAGAACTTGTTAGACATAATTCAATGTTCTCATATGAATTTATTTAACAATGTTTAAATTTTTTAAATATAGATTTAACACATTTTTACAAGTACATATACAATACAGTTCATTTAAAGTTGCAGACAGAGGGAAAACCCTCTGCTGGAGAGAGTACCATATACATGAAGACCCTCATTCAACCATATACTTAAGGTAACAGAACAATTATTGTGCAAAGTTCCAAATGTGAAAAGTCTAAGACTGTACAGTCAGATTTGCAGAACTAATCAGTCTCATACATTAGTCAAAGCTTAGAATCAAGACTATAGAAGGCAGAAAAGTAAAACCATTTTAATATGCCATGTATGCTATGATGAGACATTGCTATTTATGCTTGTACCTCAAAAATGTGTACTTATTACCATACAAATGGTTACTACTATAAGTAGCCTCAATAGTAATTTAACAGAATCTTATTTTTACTCTTAAGAAGTGAACTGTGATCTAATTTCAAATAGATAAAAATTTATTGGGATGACTTAAAATCTCTTCATTAAGAATGCCAGTAAATTGGACAATATTGCATCTTGAGTATTTGCAGGGATCCTTAATTAAAATGCAGCTGATCAGCTGTACAACTTTCATATTTTAGAGGATGGATGAGTAATGCTATGTTAGAGAAGAGCCAAACAGCATATGTGCAGTGTACTACCACGCTATGAAATGTACCATACACTTCCAATACAGTCATACAGTAGCTCAGCAATTCCTTTGTACAAAATTGGTCACTGGAAAAATTAAAAAATGGTGTTTTTATAAAACAACTTTACACTAACTCAGAATTTATGGTTCACAAATGAAATTCACATCAAAAGGGACCCTCATTAGTCCACAGTATAAAACATTTCAATCCAATAGACAGTGCATAAATTCAAATATCACATGCATAGCATTAGCCCTGTTTTCAACACAATCAGAATGATCTCTATACACTTCTGTTTAAATGTCAAACCACTGTACATATGTATTACAAAAAGAAAACAAAATAAATTATGAACCATTTAAATTCTTTTTTTCAAAAATTCACAAGTTATCAATAAAGATGCTGAAAAGTACAGTCTTATACTAAGAACATCTTTAGTGCAAATGTGGACATTGAACTTATAGTTATGGCACATGTTCCAAAACGACAATACTCTGAATGTAAACTTCAACACTTGCTCGATACAGATGTTAGCCTTGGAACACTTAGAGTTTCTAAGTGATTCTTGACAACCCTGAGTTGTCTGTCAGTGGGCCTGATCCTTAACCCACTGAAATCAACAGGAATCCTTCTATTGACTACAATGAGCTTTGGATCAGATCTTCAGTGCAAAAGGAAGTTCTTTAGCATTATTGCATCATCATCATCATATGACCCAGCCAAAAGATGACCTTACCGTACATGACATTCACATAGCTACAATATATTTAAACCCATTCCATAAAACCAATTAATTAGAAAACGTGGCTTTTTTTTTCTTTTTGGTCTACTAAAACTGAACTTTCCTTTGCAAGCAACCAGAACAAAGATTGTCAACTAATCAATAGGTAAAGCTTTCAACCTGTAGAATCAATTTCGGGCATCTAAATGAAGCATCAAGACACTGTTGAATTACTTCGCTGATGAAACGTAATGGATGTCATGGAAAAACAAGAGGCAAAAATAAAACAATACTGTATTTTCCATGGTGGAAAAAAATGAAATAGTAAAGAATGTCTTCCTTTATGACTGTGACAATCTGTTTAGGACTGCAGTCCCTCTCAGTGCAGATGAAGTTGTGAAGTTCTGTGAATGTGATGAATAGTATAGGATAATTCCAACTATTGTGCTGTGTCTCTGTAACACCTATTTCAAAGTCTCCAAAACAGCATCAAAAATAGGATGCTACTAGTTCACCTTTAATTCAGGGGGAACTAAACTTTCTTGTGTTACACAGGGCAGCATCTATAAAGTAATGAAGAATGATAACATTAAAGCATCTTATCCCAAGAATACATTGTTCCTGTAATAATGCAACATGTGCACCAAAACCGTGGTATTCACTAAAAGTCAATTTCCATTAGTTTCAGTGAAAGTTTTGTCCAAGCAAGGACCACAGAATTTGACTTCCGTAATCTACCAGTTGACTACCACGATCAGTTTGATAGAATCTTCTCTGCATTTACTTTGCTGTAATGCTCAAATGTTCTTTATGTAGTAAGAAAAGACCTACTGTATGAAGCTCATGAGAACCTCCACTTGTGTGGAGGACTCTTATTGTTTCAAAGGCAAAAAAATCAACATGGGATTTAATGGACCCTGTATAAATAATTTTGCTTGTACAAATGACATAGCTTGTGACTGAAATCATTAAAGTGCATACTAGTGCAAACTGCTTCATTATATTTGCAAAACTATAATTGACATTTTAAATTGAATTATTTACAGTATTCCCACTAATGTTAGCAAACATGCTCATGTAAGCTTGTAAGAACTCAACATCCAAAACAAAGAACCATACAATCTCAAAGCAAGTGCTCTGCTATCATTAATACTCCCTCAGAGGTACCACACATGGGGTCCCAGGTCAACTGAAGTCAACAGAAAAACTCCCACTGACTCCAATAAGCATTGGGCCAAGCTAAGAATACATATTGATAGGCTACGACGATCCATTATGCACTACTGATTTCAGTAAAACAAAAGTGCATATAATTAATGTCCACAGCATGACTGTCATATGAGAGCACACTTTGTTGGATGCTTGGTACATCATGCACCCATAAGGAACTGAATAGGTTAGTTAAGTAAGTAGGGCGCTATCACTAATCAAAACAATGAACTCTCTTGTTGCTAACAATATGCTATTTAAGCAAGTGTAAAGGGAATTATAGCCCTGGATCCTGTAAAGAGCTCACACAGGCAGATGTTGTGGATCCTCATTAAAATACATGGGAGTCCACCAATGAAGAGCTCACTCCAGCAGTGAGATCTAACACTGGAAGGAAGTGGCTTGACTTGTTGTCAATTTGTTGCTCTTCAGTATTTGTAAGGACTAGTTTTTAGGGAGCTCCCTGACCAGACTCTCATTTTCACAGCATAGTTGTTTGCCCATAAAAAACCCCCACACCACTAACAAATCATTGGTATAGCTGGCGGAACTTAAAATATCCCACTGCCTGATTTGTCGGTCCAAACAGGAGGTATCGAAACTAGGTGTCTAAGGCTTTGTCCATATAGGAAAGTTTTACCAGTTACACTAGAAGAGTTACATTGGTACAGGACACTCGTATTCCAAATCCATAGCTTGAGACCACCAATAAATGTCAAAAGGTACAAAAGTTCACAGCTAATTAAGAGCTCCAAGGATGAAGACTCACTCCCTGCCTTCGGCTTTTGTTAACATATTTATATGTTCACCACACTACAAGGTACATTTTTCACTATAAAATGCTTGATCCTTGGGCACCCACGAAATTTGTATCTTCAGCTGTTCTACCACATCCCCAAGTAATTTGTTATTTCCCTTTTTAGACTCTGATTATACATTGATAATCAAATATATATAAATGAAATCGTTTGAGCCTACACTTATGTTTTTAAATACAGGCAGTCCCCGACTTACGTCGGATCCGTACTTATGAATGGGGCTTTTCTTGCCCTGGAGGATGCGGGCGGCGGGACCGCCCAGACGCGCCGCGGTCCCGCCGCCCAGGTCCTC